TTACATGGCAGTAAGCAAAACGTTTTGTCTTCGTGGACAATAGGTAGGAGGTTTTAGTTTTCAGAAGATCATTGTTTGCCCATTTTTTTTTCTCCATTCTTATTCTGGCAGTCTTGAGTAATTGAAAATGTCTTTGCAATTAAGTGCCCATAGATATCTAGTACATATTTTAATCTTTCAGAGTTAACATGAACTTAAATTTTTTTTTGGCAAACTTTTTTTCACTTAATACATTGAAAATTTGTGGATTAGGGTGTTTTCCATATTGAATTGAAAAAATGTCCTGCTGTTAAAAAAAACATAGTTAAAAATCATGTGCTGCAACTAAAAGCTAAAAGAAAAAGATGATTCCCGAAGCCCTGCGGTGTGCCAGCCTGAACCCCTGGTCATCGGAAAAGCAGAGTGTTGAGACTTTCAGGTTTTGTTCCTGGTTCTGTAATGGACATGTTTTTACCCAAGCAGTGATGTAATGCATGTCCCATTTTCAGCTTCCAAAATAGGATTGATTCTCTTCTGCCTGGTTTTTCCTTTCTCTGAATCAGAAGCAACATTCTCTTTCAAAGTGCTTTCTGATTCTGGGATTTTTTTTTTTTTTAAAACCACATACAGAAATGATAAATATGGCTCATAAAATCAGAAGGTAGACTGTTTAGTGTAACCTAGGAGTGCTTACTCGAAGTACCATCTGATTTAGTTTGAAAAAGACAATCTGTAATGTTGGTTTTGTATAAAATTACTTGCTCTTGTTTGCAAACTTCATTCCTGGTAACTTATATTTTTTTGTAAGGGAATATTTCAAATTCTTAAGCGTAGAATTCAGAAACAAGGTCAAAATGTTTTTTCTTTCAAGTATTTAGTTTTAGAGTGACCACAGTGTTTCCTGTACAAATGCCTCATATATTCTTCCCTAAATAAGTATAATTTGTTGCCTAACAATGGGCCCTTCTAAATACACTTTTCAGAAACTCTTACAGGATGCAGTAGATCTTCTTTCTCTGTGTTTGCTTCCCAGATGCTTTAATGTTTTGAGAAAGTGCATAGTATTTTTGTGCTCATGAGATACAGTTGTCGGTAGTGGTTTGAAATAAATATGACTTGACAAGGTTTTCTGGAAGCTAATTTAAAAAAATCAGCTTAGTGGTGAGTGTGCTTTGTTTTTTGGCATAGAATCTTTATCTTTTCTTAAAGACTTCAGTGAATCTTCAAGGTTTACTGTGGTAGACATTATGAACAGTATTCAGGTCTTCGACTGGTAGACGTGGGTATATGGTGCTGTTGAAGGTGGAGGAAAGGTTGAATCGAAATAGTTGTTACCTGCAGTTGATAGAGCTGCTGACGTGACTTTTTCAAAGTACTAACACAGTCATAGACTATTGCTGACTTTAAAACTGATGTAATGTGGCCATCATTGCTTCTTTAAATGCATTATTTCGCAATTTCCCTGATGACTGCTCAGACCAGTATCATTTTCTTTGGGGCTTTCCTGGAAAATCCTGCATTGGACTTGACTGTATGTGTAGCTAAAAAGTCAATAGCGTATGAAGTGAAAGCTGCTTTCTGCCTGCAGTGACAAGAGTAAATATGTTCTTGGTAGTCTTTGATCATATGGGGAGCTAATATTTGTGCAGCAGTTGTAGAATTTGTTTTGTGTTTTCTTGTTTTTACTGAACTTTGTGTGCTAGAAGTTAACCCCCAAATTTAGTGTTACAGATCCTTTGTCTTCTGTTCTTATGTCATGTTTTGTTTAGGTAGAAACAAAACTAGTGACTGTACCTAAGTCTGTATGTAGTCGTAATTTTTTTTTTTTCCAGTGCAATTAATCTTTCTTTCCACATAGTTGAGTTCATGGTTAACAAAACAGGTAACATGGAGGAAGGAAAAGGTGGGGAAATATTTTCAGGCATTTTGTCAGTTAGAGAGCTCATAGATCAGAACGGCAGGTATAAAATTTTAAGATGAAGTGTGTGTTTTAAGTTAATAACTTTATAAATACTTGTCAAAGCTTTTGGCTTACTGTAGCTTAATTTCTACTCTAATTGTATTTTATGGTCAACTGGTTCCTTTGGTAACTTGTAGCTGATGAGTAGTAGCACAGTCTGTTCAGAATCTACCTCAGCTGTCTTATGTGGATGTTTAAATACATCAGTATATTAAGATTTGTCATCTTCTCCAAAGAAGTACTATTGAGAGGTTTGGATATAACCAGTGCTATGAAAGCTGAATAAGCAATTTGTAAAAATACTGGGGTTATTTTTTTGTTTTGAAAATTATTTGAAAACAGTATTAATTCTGAGCAAAATATTTTTGAATTAGCAGATGGAATACAAGAAAAGTATCTTTTTACTGCTCACATTAATCAAAAAGAAAAAAATTTTTGACTGCTTTTCAAAGTTTTTTATGAGTTTATTTAACAACTTGGGTAAGGAAACTCAGCTAAGAGGAAATGTTTGGCTTGACCAGACTTTCCTTTAGCATTGGCCCCTTCCACCCATCGCTTAATTAATATTTACTTGTTGTCTCTCAAATTCTTTACATTTAGTGGCTGAGAAGTGATGGTATTGAATGTTTGCTTCTGTAAGAGTGCTTTAAATCCTGATTGGCTTTCCGTATGTAGGGTTCTGGGTTAAATGCCTTCCTCATTTATTCGGTGTTGAAACTGTCATTTACTGCAGTGGAACGTATGTGCACTTAGTACAGGGGGTTTTCTAAATCACTTTGCAGGACCGTGATAGAAAATGGTTATGTGAACATTTAAGCCCTTGTCACTGATCATCTTCAGTGAGAGGGAGGCGAAAAGGTAGAAGCAGGCAGCTGGAGTCGATAACTGCTTAAACTTGTACGCTACAGCCGTAGTAGCTCGTCAGGCTGTGCTCTAAAATCATGTCAATAAAAAGTTCTTGTTTTTGTTGTCTTCATGTGAGTAATCGTTTTTTGTTTTGTAGCCAAGTATAGAAAAACAAGACATTTGTTACTAAAAATAAATTGTTTTTCACACTAGGAAATGTTTTGATGCCTCTCTTGCTATCCAAAATATTTAATTTGTAAATGGACATTGTGTGGGTATTGTCTCAGTGAAGAATGAATAAGACCACTGGATTTTTCTGTTATTCAGACCTCGTCTCAAGTACAGGAGTTTATACTGACTCCCAATTTTTACATTTTCTTTAATCAGCATTTCCATGTGCTAAGGCGACTTTCAGCAGATGACAGCCAGTCTATGGATCGCATTTCAGGAACCATTTGCCTGAAGCATTTGTGTAAAAATGTCTGCGGTAGAAATTGCATTTGTCAGGAGGGAAAATGAGTGAAGATACAAAGCTGGGGAAGGAAAGGTTATGGGGAAGGAAAGGTTATGGGGAAGGAAAGGTTATGGGGAAGACACGTGAGAAACAACTGTGTGCTAATGTGTGAGAAACGTAGATCCAAAGGGACGTTATTGTCATGGCAAGATTTAACGATCTCAGGAGTGACTGTAACTAGCCATGAAACCTGTGGAGTGTTCCCTACTTGTTCAGTAGTTTCTTGGTGTTGGCTGTGTTCGCTGTCAGAGTTAGAGAAAATTTTAAAAAATCAAATGCTTGGGATGTATCATTCCTAGGGATTGATTTCTATTTGACAGATGTACTGAAATAAGTTAGAAAGTTGTAACAGTGCATTCCAAAAAGGATGCTTTTCTTTGGATGCTTGAAAGCTGTTCAGATGGAACTCCTTGACCCATAACTGGTCTTTGCTGGCAAACTGTAAATCCCACAGGACCAGTAGCAGAACTGGAACTGAAATACAGATGCTTCAACTCTCTGTCTAAATGCTCATGTAGTATGGAACTATCAGGACAAAAGGAGGTAATCCTGGAAGAGCAAGATACAACAGAAATACCATTTTCAAGAAAGTTTTTCCTTTTCTTATGAATTTCTTAAGCAGCGCAACATTTGTATGACACTTGACAGTATTTTCACTGTTATGCAGCATTAAGAATTGTTACAGTGCAAAGATGTGAGGGATTGTATGAAATTTATTTGAAGTATATCTTACTTGAATGTATTTTAAATTAAATGTTAATATTTATACAAAGTACTTAGTAAAAAAAAATCAGTTAATCATTGGTATAATAAGGAAACTAAAGACAGGGAAGAAATAGCAGTACTTGAATAAAGTGCTTTAAGTGATTAGGTACCAGTTAACTTCCAAAAAAGGATATTGTTCGTTTATTGAAAATTCTGTATGATGCCAAGAAGGATAGTGTTTCCAGCCTAACTTGCAGTCATGCTTTTTTGTATGTATTTTTTTTAAAAAAGAAGGGCGAGTTGATGTGCTAAACTCTTAGATACGGCATTGTTCTGATTAGTTTTGTCTTAAGTCATGAGTTTCCGAACGTGATGCCTACCTGAACAAGGAATTTTTGTTAGAAACCTTTTGAAATCTCAGGCTTCTGTTCAACAAGAACGCCAAATGCGTTAGTGTAATAAAATAGCTTAATAAAAAGCCCTATTCTATGGAAGAATTTCCTGTTTCTAGTAAGGGAGAGCGGTGAATCAAATTAATGCATTTTTTTTCATTTGAAAACCACTCAAGGTCTCTCATAATGCTTTGATGCTAAATTCTAAAGAGATCTGACTCCTGAAGTTCTCAAAAGTACTCCCCTTCTTGAACAAGCTAACTTGTTTTTAAAAGCAAATGAAACAGTCCTACTTGAACACGTTTCTGTTGCATCATCAGTTAAAACTGGGAGAAAGATTAACTATAGATAGCCAATCTTGAGATTATTCATGTACATTTGAACAACAAAACTATAGCTTGGAGCAGATTTTTTGGTAAAGCAATATGCTCCTTTGAGACAAATGCTTTAGGAAGAGAAACGACAGGTCTGTGTGTACTTTCAATTCAATGTAAATTTGTAGGTAGGTACGTGTTACAATTGTCTGTTTTTCTTTTTAGGGCTCATGTAATCAAAGGAGTTTCTTTGTTGTGTGTATCTTTTCAGAACACAACAGGAATTCAAAATGAATCAGGTGAGTATAAATGTAAGACTTTATCAAAATACTTAGATGTTAGAACAGTTAATTATTAATAAGAAAAGTAAATCATCCACTAAAAAAGAAATGTTCCTTAAAAGCATCAGTGTCATTCAATTTCATAATCCTGCTTTCCACAACCTGTATGCTTGTGAGGTTTATTTCATTTCATGGATTTAAGTTTTTTGTGCGTGAATTCCCTTTAGCAGCATGTAATTTATTACTGCTGGCACCTCTTAGAAGAACACGTCTCCAGAAAAATCTATTTCATTCTGAGGCTTTTGGTAATAATTCAGCTCCTTATAAAAGGGGCTTGAAAATTGAAGGCTTCCATTTTTCTCTCTCTTTTTTTTTTTTTAACCACGTTACCATTTGAAATGTGCAGTGAACAATCTGTCACAGAAATTGATTGATTAGGAAGTTTCACACTTTTCTGGAACCGTAAGCATTTCTCCTAGAATCAAGTGAAAAGGCTGGGAAAGCACGTTTCTTTTGTGATGCAGCACTCTACTATATGGATGCAAGAACATCCTGACTGGAGGGTGGTGTTTCAATCAGTGCCAAGTGTACACGAATTTATTTTGCATTTGCCTATCCAAGTGGGAATTACACATCTGTTCGTCTATCATGCAAAATGGTATTACTTAAAGATACTTATAGAAGAAGTATATGTTGCCTTAAATTTTTCTTGTAAGTACTTCTCTCTCTGGATTATTTTATGAAGTCACTCTGGTGTGGGAATGTGAGCATGGGATATTACACTGAAGGAATGCTGTTTTTAATTTACTAAAAAAGTTGGCTATGAACAGAAGCTTTTTTAGCCAGAAACAGCCACAGTACACGGTAATGTAAAATGCTTTCTATACTTTTTTATTGATGCCTGTATCTAATAAGTGCTTTTATTGCCATTTATGCACTTATTTGATCATCAGCAGCATTGAATACAATTAGCACTTTGCTGAAGTGTGATCTCACTAAAGTTTTAGAAGTATATGCATAATACAAGTAATTACTGTGTGAAGTAGGTTGGTGGGATGTTTCCTGTTGCTTTTTCCTCTGATTTAAAGTGAAAGATCTTTGATATATATGTGCATATTTAAAAAGTGAAAACCAAAATATAATCTCTATCAGAGCCTTGAAAAATGTATTGTAAAAAATGTATTTGTATTATATCTATACACAAATATAAAGTATCATATTTATAATACAAATAACATTTGCATTAGAACACTTTGAAGCATTAGTAGTCTAGTTTGGGGCAGCCAGGTTAACTGTTGCTTCACAATTTATTTCTGTTGAGACTTGAAATTTTCACCTGTAAGGTTTGCTTTGAATGCACTCGAAAGCCAACAGCCTATTGCTCTGTCTGCTTGAGTAATAATTCTGGTTTCTTAGTCGTTCTGGTAAGCTTTGGATTCTGCTAAAACTCTGAAAGTGGTAGATCCTAATCTTTAATTGTTGTCATTGACTGCTTCCTTCCCATCTGTGTGTCCGTGTCCCCTCGTGTCCTGCCTCTTGTCGTGTCCCTCCCCGATCTCCTTCTAGAATTAAGATTTCTGTGCTATATGAAAACAAAGTCTTCATCTTCTTTATTGCTACTGCTAATACTGCCCGTGCAGTGTGATGTATGTCATCTTACAACTAAACCATGGGATGCCCCTGCCTCTGGGAGTAGCTACAATAGCTTAGTGTCCTCCTTGCTGTGTCTGGCTTTCACATTCAGTTTCCAAAGCTCACGTGGCTTTTTATTGTTCAATTCCCATTCGTATTAAGTGTGTATTTAGCATCAACCCTGTGGTGTTTTTTCTTGCAGTGCCCTTGTCATTTCATTACTGTTGACAAGTTGTAGTGCCAGGTCTGTATAAGGAATGTTTTTGCCTGATGCCAAACATCTTTCAAGTGTTCTGTTTGTGTATTTCTTTCATTCTGCATATCTCTGCTTCTGGTGTGACTTAAGTGACCCTGAAACTAATTGGGCTACTGTTAGTTTGGTTTTTATGAAAAGACTGCTAGTTTTGTTGTTTATCCCACAGAACTCTTGAAGTAGTGAAGGAAAACCTTTTCATAAATAACTTGATATTTCCTTCTTGTAATAAGGAGAAGAAGGCTTAAAAAAAAAAGGCAGCTGTTGTTGGAACTAGTATTTTTGGGTTTCTTGGAAGATTGTGGTCTCGGGATAGAAAGTATGCATTCTCTATCTGTTTTAAAAAGAGTCTGCCTTTAATATGTAGGGTAGACAGTATGCATTCTCTATCTGTTTTTCTGTTTTAAAAAGAGTCTGCCTTTAATATGTAAACTGCTTCATTGGAATATGTTGAATAATTTATTTAAAAAAAACCAAGCAGGAGTGAGGTTTTGTTTGGTGGCATTTACTGCATCTCAGACTGCATTGAGATAGAGTAGGAAGAAGCTCGTGTGCTACCTGGAAAATTGCATGGGCAGTTACTTCAAAAATAGTGAAGGCATTAACATAAATAGTGAAGTACATTAACAAATTACACCTGTGCTTGTACTAAAACTCCCTCTCCCCATTCCCTCCGAATTTTTCAGTGTTTATTTCAAATATTTCTGATACATCTTTAATTTTCAAGCACACACAGTGAAATTGTTGCATAGCAGAGTGGCCAGATACAGTTCTTGGACAAGCAGAGACCTTTCTGCTTCTGATGTACCTTTCTTGTGCTAGCTGGCTTCCTTAGTCACTTCATCTCCTTTTCACAACTACCTCTTCTAACTTCTCTGCCTTGTCCTCCCTCTTCAATGGCATCCTTCTATTGATCTTTTCATTTCTTTTAATCCTTTTTCCACCAAAACATGACACCGACTGAATGTTTGTCATTCATTGCATGGTTCAGGATGTTTTTTTTCCTTTCTGCTCTGATCATCTGTAAACATCTTATTGCAGGTACTGTTTCTACTCTGCTTGATAATGCTTATGACATTATAGTCTAATTTGTGGTTGGTCCATAGGTACAATTATATCGAAAGTGGTGTGAAAAATTGCTCCATCAGTGTGTTGAAAGCTACTGTCAAAGTGATTGGACTCTGAATTCGATGCAAACAAGAAAAGATAGTTTCAGATAAGGCACCCCATCAGCCCTCAAATGATTTTTTTGCACTGTTCTTAAATCACTTCACCCCTGCTAATTTAAATGCTAGCAGTGTAATATTTCTGATTAACTTCAGAGTAAGAAGCTTAAAAGTGAAATAAGCTTCAAGTGCTTTTGTATTCAAAATTGCAGTCTTGGAGTGAGTGAAAAATACCATATTAGGTCTTCAGTTAAATGCAAAAGTTGGCTGTAGGACATGCACCTGTGCCCCATCCTTATCAAGAGGTGAATTTTTTAAACAGAAAAATCAATTTAAATCTGATTTTTAAGTGTTGGTAGAAAAGTGATTGAAATAATAGTATTTCTTCATCTGGTAGACAGACATTCCTTGGGGACAAGTTGTGATCTGAGAAATGTTTTAAGTAGCTACATTTAAATTGCAAATAAAATTTGCACTGAAATTGCACTGATTTGACTGAACGAAATTGTTGTTTATTTGGCTTTATAGTATTTGGTTACTTATTACCATTCGTTTGAGGTGTGAAGTGTATTGTTGTGTACTAGGCCATATCCAATTTTCTGGTGCCTGGGAAGTCCATTAATATGACAGGTCTGGAATGAGTCTGAGTACTGTGTTCTCTGAACGTAGCTGCTAATCTTAGATTTATATAGGTAGATGCAAAAGAAAGTTCTAATTGTATATTACTGCATACAAATAAAATCCTTAAACGATGGAACAGTTTTGGGATGTTTAGGGCTAAAAGGAGGTATGACTATTAAGAAATACGCCAGACACATCAGAGGATGTGCCACAGTGCTGTACACTTCTATCTAAATCCGTTGAGCCTGATTTTAAAAGTTTTGGTAGGTTAAAATTTATTTGCAGGCTTGAGATTTTTAACTGCTGATGTAGCTATGATTGTTAAAAAAAAGAAAACCAAAACCAACCAAACCCCAAAATGAAACCCAACCAAAAAACCACCTCACTTTTGTTAGCTTGAAACTTAAAGTGCATCATTCTGGTAGCTGTCTCGTTCACCCTCTGTAGTTCCCCTTAACTAGATATAATTTGCTAAAAACCGCTGTGAAAACCAGGCTTGGTTCTCCCCTATTGCAATAATGAGGTAATGTGCTGGAAAGGTAGTCAGATTTGTGTGTAATACGCCGAGAAGCGCGTGCTGCTTTCTCATCTGATGAGCCATCACTTCTTGTGTTCAAGCCTAACAGGTGTCTGAAAATCAGACTTCTTTTGTCACCATTTTTCCTTTTGGATTGTTGGAAGTGGGATTGAATTTTGCCTTTGAATGGAGTCGAGCTATTATAACTAAAGAGTAAGGATTTCTTTTTTTTCCTCCCTGGTGTCTTCACTCTCTTAGATGGAAAGGGATTTCTGGCATTCTGTTCCTTCCATGGTTTCCAATTTGGAGGTCTTTCTCCCCTACAAATAGCTCTCTAGGATGTGTCTGTGCAGCTGTTAGGGCTTACCAAGGCAGCAACAGAATAACCTTGCTATGACTCCAGTTTTATGTTCTTCTAACTTAACTCAGCAGGTCACATTCATAAAAGTAGGCAATAATTGCCATACTCAGCACCCTCACGAAGAGTGTGTGCTTAGAAAAGACTGAGAAACTTTTACCTGTTTTGCTTTAGAGATAAAACCATTAAATTTGATAGTATATAGAGATGCATTTTAAAATATTTTTCCAGTAAATTTTCTGCATAACATATTTCATAAAGGCTCAATGGAAAATACTCTGTCTTACTCAGAAGCTATGAAAACTCTTATCATATCTCTTCTTTATTGTTATGTGTAAAAGCGAGAATAATTTCCAGAAAGTCAGGGTTTACTTGGGCTGCGGTGTTGTCCAAGTTGTTATTTCTCAGTTTAATACCTCCTAAAACTTGTTCAGAGCTTAACTGCAGGTTCCTTCATACTGGAGTGGTTGTTGCCATCACCACCAGTATTTGTTCCTGACCAGAATGATCAAAGTTCGTTGTCAGAGGGCAGGTACGTTTTTTAGGGCTGTTGCACGTGGTTCAACATATGCCTAGTTCTCACCAAGCACAATTCTTTCGTAATGTGGACAGATTTTATGGGAGACTGTGCATGCTTGTAACTTTGACATTCTGATCATTTTTACCAGGAATAGTGTTTTGTTTATTATAATTAAGTAACAAAGACCTACTTGTTTAATGACAAGGGTGAGTAGCATTTACTGTTGTGTTAAACAAATAATAGTATGAGTAATATTATAAGCAGTCTATTGAACCTTGAAGGCTCCTTAGAATGGAACTAATCACTTACTAGACATTCATAAATCATTTATTAGCTTTCTACCACCTTTCAAACTTTAATGTAGAAATACCTTAAAACCTTTCGTATGATGACCTGCTGGCTAAGGATTCCAAGCTGTTGATTTATTTAGGAATTAGGATTAACATTTACGATACTGAAATATTAACTTTTATGACAGTATTTAAAATGCTTTATCCTCTCTAAAAGCTGCTTTTAGCTTATTCTATTTGTTGCAGAGCAGTAAACTTGATATGCAGATACTTTAATGTTGATCTTTGGAGTGAAATGAATGGTGTTGTAAATAGAGCAGTAGAAAGACAGCAGCAGACCCAGTAGTAGCTCTGGGAAGTATATTAAAATACAAGCTTCATCGTGTCAGCTACTTTACCATAAGGGTATTACGCACGTTACTATTCTCTAGTATATGCAGAGTAGCTTGTCTGTGTCCATCTACCATTCAGTACTGGCTAGTACAGGATATATCTGTGTTATGGCAGAGTATGGTGTATCCCAAGTGCATGTTCCCATAGATCTCTTAGAGTAGTTAGTTTACTGCAACATTCTCGATTCAACAGGTAAAATGAAGAACGCTTCATTTTTGTGAGTTGTATGCACTTCTCAGAAATTTCAGTATGGTTTTCTCCGTGAGTTTCTGTTTAGTCTTTCTCACAAGTGATACGTTTCCACGTAAGGCAATACCAGAAGCTATTTTAGATTGTTTTTTTTGGGACTGATTAGATTGAGTATGCCTGGAAGTCATAATTTGAAAAGGAGAAATAAAGAGTCCCTAATATATGTGAAGTTATCCTCAGTGTGGTGGGGAGCTGAGATTGTAGCTTTGTGCTGTATTTCCAAAGGCATCACTTGTGTGTTCCAGGGCAAGTTATTCCTGTTTGCTGAGGCTTTACATCATTCTTTCCTTATGCATAGTGGCATACACACAGTTGTTTCTTTTGGAACTTTTATGTGCACGTTTAGGAAATGATTGACAAAATTGAAATAGAAGGCTGCATGAGCAAGTTGGGACCCTCAGACCAGGAGTGCTCTGGAGCTGGAATTGCCCTTTGTTTTGAAACATGTTGAGATGTCCCTGTGAGCTGAAGTACCAGTTAGCTTGCGTTATGAACACAAATGGTATGAAACACTCAAGAAAATTGCAATGTATCTCAGTTTTCACTTAAAAGAATTAAAGAATTCTTTAAAAAATATATAGAATGGAAAATGCTTAGAATTGTATGTTAAGTACTAACATTTTTAGAAGTTAACTTTTAGCATTTAATTTACTACTTCTCTATTAATAGGTAGGCCTTTAATAGTTAGTGTTTTTTTTTCTTGCTGTTGGTCACCATTGCTTTTTATGGACAGATGTTTATGTGAAGTCCAACAGAAAATGAAATGGATGGTTGATAAAACATAAATGTTTCTCCAGTTATCCTTTTCATTAAAGCTGTCAATTATAATGAAGAGAAGCTGCGGGCCACACATCTGAAGTAGATCCCATCAAGCCGATGTGATTTTACTCACCTTTGAAACTTACTTGGTGAGGATCGTAATGGAGAAACTGCTTTGCTGGCTCGAGCAGGTTTATTTGATCCACATTTGTTCTGCATTTTGAAACAGAATTTGTGGAAGATGAGCGTCTAGGTTTTAGGAAAAGGTAATGGAATGCAGTTGCTGATGCTTTAGTGCAGAATCAGCTTGCGTTATCCCTCTGTTTTAGGGGCTTTTACCATTTATTCTTTGCAGGAAACCCAGGATTTTAAAAACTGTCGATAGGATGGTTATGAAATAAAATGAAAAAAACGCTTGTTCTTCCCGTGTTCTGGCTGTTTTGCTGCATGCTGTTTTAATCAAATAAGTGTATTTTAGCACGGCAGTTCACTTACCTCTTCTTAATTTAATTGCTGGTAACATTTTTCAACAGTATAATTTGGACAAATGATGTCTATGTCCTGAAACACTTCTTACAACTTCTTTCCTGACTATTCAGTATTCAAAAAGTACGCAGCTAATGGATTTTTGCTAAATTCATCCTGTGTTGCTCTTAAATGTGCTAGTCTTTCAGAAGCAGTCAGGAATGTTTTCTAGAAGAGATTGTATTTAAGATCTGGTGTACAGCTGAAACATAAAAGAATGACAATTTCTTGTGGCTTATTTGCAGAAAATATTAGGTCTGAATGTTGTAGCTGTCTGTAATTTAAAGGGAAAATTAATCTACCTCCTTTACTTTTTTAATTGAGTTAGACTTTCCAGGCAGGTTACGTAAGGGCTGGTATGTTTTCATGATGCATGGGGGTTTTTTAAAAACTTGACTGAGTTGTCTAGTTTAAAAATAAACATGTTGTTTACAAATATGTCATGTAATCAGAGGAATTGTAATGCTTCAATAGAATGTTTAAGGAACTGGAGATTTTTATAGTGATTTCATAGATACTAAAACTCTAGGACTGTTTCCATAAACACTTATGTGATACTTTTTTGAAGAAAGCTTCAGTGTAGTAGACTAGGCAGGTAGATCAACTTTATTTCACCTGAAATTTGGAAGAACTTTAATCAGAAATGGCACGAAGGAGTGTTGTCTCAACATGACGCAGGATGTAACAGCACTATTACTGACCGATGTACTTGGTAAATACAGTTTCTCATGGCATAACTGATCAGTAAAAATCATGCAGCTGAAAACTGTCCCATGGATGAGTTTTAGATTATCATATTAATGAGCAGTTTAACACTAAGCCTGAACTCATGTGAAAACTATATTATGAAAAATGTAGCTGGTTTCCAAGGAATAGAAGCACAGTACGTTTCTGTTAATTCTTCTTTAGGTATAATATAGTAGTGCTGTCAGGTAAGTCGTATTCAGACAGATAAAATAAAATCCTGTTAGGTCTATTCTCCAGGTAACTCCAGGGAGAATTTTGAATTTGTCTTTAGGGAGAGGTCAAGGAAAATGAATGAAGTAGCAAATGGCCTAACAGAAACATGAAAACCCTTTGTTAGATTTACTTGCTGTGTACTGCTTGTAATCAAAACACATACATTAACTAAAGCAAAAGAATATTTACAGCAACTTTAGTTACCAGTATTTTATGTCTATCTCTAATGGGGTCTTAGAACTCTGCATTAAAACATACACAAATGTAATTAAAATAACAGTGAAAGCTTGAATGTTTTGATAAAAAGATACTTCTACATTAGCACGCTCATGGAGGGAACCCCAGTTGAAATAGCACTTCAGAAATTTTACTTAAATTTCAAGTCAGGAGTTTTTGTGTGAGCTGATCATCTGTTGTGCTGTTCTTTTTATCTGTTAATGGTCGTGGCCCTTCTGGCTTTTTGACTTATAGAACACAACTGAATCTACTGTCGCTGTGGAGACCTTAGATGATGTACCTGAGCATGTGCTTAGGGGGCTTCCTGAGGATGTGAGGCTCTTCCCATCTGCTGTTGACAAGACACGGCTTGGTGAGTGCTACAACTGTGAAAAGAGAATGAAGATTTTTGCACTAGCTCATGTAAATTACAGTTGCTGTGGAAGTTTGGTGCCCTCCTGTGCTGGGTAGAGATGGTATCTCGTGTGTTTATCTGAAGTCATTTCTGTTGAAAAGAGTGGACAGCTTCTAAGGTTCTCCAACATCCCAAGGTGATGTTCCCAGAACATCAGAATTGAGGTCAAAATGCAAATAGATTCGGTTATGAAAATACTGATATGTTACTTCACTGGTTTGTTTTCACTTACAGCACTTTACCAGTTCAGTGTTTCACAACTGTCTTACCGTTGCCTCTTTAGAATGCTGCATCCCACTGTCCATTCAATATAAAAAGTTTGATTTACAAGAACAGATTCAGTGAAGACTTTAAAGCTGCTGTATGGAGCGAGGTGTTGTTTCTGTAATATTTGCAAAATGCTTGGCTGCTTTTTAACAAAGTTTAACGTTGGAGAACTTTGATGGAAGTCAGAATTGCAGACTGGATGCTTGATGTTGGAAGCTGGTAGTCTGAGGAACAGGTCTGACAATAGATGCATTACTGTTAGTAAAAGGTTAAAAGCTCCTTGGAGCAAGGTTAATCTTTTCTAGTATGAACCTGATGTAGCATGGTCTGAATGAGAATGTTAAGTTTAATTAGCAATTATTTGTCAATCTGTTCTTATTTTTTATGCTATAAAATGTGAAATGCAGCTGTCCACTTTCAGTTTGATGAAATCTTATCAATAAATTTGTCAGCAGATTCACATATTTTAACCAATCCTAAATGTTTTTTCCTTCAAAATATGCTATTATTTAGTTTGACAACTTTTGTGAGGGCTTCATTTGCCTGGCATTGTTTCAGAGAAAGCAAATAGAATTCTTGTTTTAATAACATGTTTACTCAGCAGAACAGCTGAAATCTAGGACTTCATAATAAAAAACCTGTAATGCCTTTATTGTATTTTGAATATCACCTAAAGGACAAGGAAAATAGAGGTAGTTTTTAGTCTTCAGAGCTACAGTAGCCCATGAGCAAAGAATGAAACCAGGTAAATGCTTAAACCTTTCATGGTTGAAGTGAGTTTTGGGAAGACGATTGTATGAATTCATTTTAGTAAACTTCAATTTCCTTATTGTCATCTTAATATTGTAGAATGCTCCCCAATCTGAGACAGGCACATATTCTTAAGAAATATGATTTGTGAGTAGAAGATTTGCTTGAGATAAGTTGGACGAGTTTCAACTAATGATGTGTGTCTCTTCAGGTGTCTGGGCAACAAAATCAATTTTAAAAGGCAAGAAGTTTGGACCATTTGTTGGTGACAAGAAAAAAAGATCTCAAGTTAAGAGCAATGTATACATGTGGGAGGTAAGAAACAGCTTGTAAAGGGAAAAAGGCATCTGCCACTAGGTCAATGTTTTGTATTTAGCCTTTATTTTTTCCAGAGATTTTAGAAACAGACATGATGTGAAGTAATCGCCATCTATCTATGTCTACCATTAAACACAATTATTTGTAGACACTTGAATTGAGCAGCCATTCTGATTACAAAGCTTTAAAATATTGGCATTGTTTGAAATTGCTGTGTTAATTTTCTTACATATTGTCTCTGGATCACACCTCCTCTTAAGAGTCTATTGCTGATGAAGCTTTGCTTTGTTGGCTTGAGCCCTGAGTGATATCCCTTCTGCAACTCAGTACTGTGAACTGCTTATGAAATTAGGAGGATATGGAATGTCTTAAAGAAACCACAGCACTCCTCCTCATCTAGCTCTTTGTAAACCACCTTTGTTATGGGAATTGGTTTTGCTTTTGGAGTTTTTATAAAAGATCTCAGCTGATGCAATATTTCTTGTGCTGCTTGTGTTTGGGCTTGCCTTAAAGCAAATACTGTCTGAGCAGCTGAGGAGCTCTTTAAGCTCCACTGATAGTCATAAGACCTTAGATATTATGTAGATTTCTAAATGTAGGTGTCTTAATCTGGAGTTGAATCTGACCTACAGTGTCTTTAAGGCAATTCATAACTACTTCCAAAGACTTCTTCAGTCTTCCTGAAGACACATACTGCAAACAGCTTTAGCAAAGTGAATCGCCGAGGAGGGGAGGGATGGAGGAACTGTGGCATAGCGTGTTCTGGAATAGAATTTGCTTGTTTACAGATACTTAGGCTAAAGATATTGATAGTAGTCATCCTTCTGGTCCCTGGTCTACAAAAATTGAACTGCATAAAACACTGGATACACATACAAAACATAGTGTTAACCCGTGTAACAGGAATTGATCTAGAACAATTTCCCATAAATGCAAATTCACGTTCAGGAAAGTAATAAAGTGTTCAAGTATGATATTTGTTGCATTGAGCTAATATTATCACAAACTCCACTGCGTAAGATATCTCCAGTTTTAATTGAGTACAAGAACACTTAGTGAGATTGGATCAGCCAAGTAAATTATCAACCTTGCAGTTGTTTTTTTCATTGCTGGATTTTGAATGTTTTCAGTGGATATGTCTTAATATTTTTTAAATTTATGTTGAGAAATTATAGTCGCAAACAAGCTGTTACAAATTTTCATCGTTTGCAATGAAGGCGATAATGGGAACCCTTGCTAAATTTCAGAGTTAATTGTGTGTTGCTTTAATACTGATTTTGGAATTTTAAAAAAGCAGCTAAAGTGAGACTGCAGCAGTTGGCCCCATATGCTGATATCTGAAACCACTCCAGAATCTTAACTGTTAGAAATATGGTCTGTAAAAGGATGGTGGTGTGTGGGAGTAGTTAAGTATATGGACCTTCAACTAGGAGAACAACCTTTTCCCCAAGAATCCCATTTGTTTCTTTAGTGAAGTTAATCTGAAGAAAAAGTAAGGCTGCTAAAAGCTGGCATCTCCAGTCGATTTTAATAATTTTGAACTGTCACGCTAGAATATCCTTCTGAGTAAGACGGAGTTTTGTGTGTGAGTGTGTGCTTGCTGTGTCTGAGGGAAGAAACAGAGACTTGAACATATTTTAATTTTCTGTCAGAGAAAAGCCACAGATAGGCAAATGACAGCAAGGGACTGAGAACGGAGGGAGATGCCGTCTGCCGAATCAGAATGGCTGGCACGACTGCTGAATGCTCCTGATCCTGCTTTACAGGAGTTACTTCGAGTTGCAACGTTATATAGAGGAGTCAGAGCTATTCCCTTTCTCGCAGTGCACAAGACCTTTAAATAAAATTCTGTAAATCAGAAGCTTTAACTGAAAAGTAATGAGATGTTTTGTGCAAAAGCCGTTAGAAAGTAATATAAAACATAATAAGGTAATCTATAAAAAAAGTTATAAAGTATTATGTTTTGCCGTGTATTCCACATCTGCCAACTCTTCCACAGCATTGTTTATCTCTTTTCTTCTGTTTTAATCAAAAGGAGTGCTTTTACAGTCATGGGCTGTTTCAGATTGCAAGGGCTGGATGTGCTGGTGAACCTTATTTCAAAAATCAGTGGATTCCATGCGGAAATAGTTTAAATAATGGAGCTGTTCTCTCTCTGCTTGAAAAGAAGCAGAGATGATTTTGGTGTATTTATTGAAACTTTATTGATAAAATTCTATTTTATCAAGTCAACAGTATATCAATACAAAAGAAATAAAATTTATGAAATGATTCTTGTTTTAAACTGTTGTAGAAACGTACTTGAAAATGTAAAACAGTTGGAAAAGACTTAAAATCACTTGTAAGTATCAGAAACAATAAAAAGCTACAACATTGTGTAACAGAATGGGAAAGTTAATGGTGAAATAATTTAAGGAATTTAAGTTTATTCCTTAGCTGTAATGGTACTAAGTGAATGTTGGCAGGAGGTGATGAGCTGGAGAGGCTGGGTTTTGAAAAGAGCTCTTCCAGGCAGAGGCTTAGATTTATAGACTGGACCAAAAGGAAAAAAGCAAATAAGAAGATAGAATCAAATTGCACATATTTTTCCTTTTTTTTGGTGTTTCTAAAGAGCTGCCCAATACTTCTGAGACATTGTGCACCTGTTAGTATGCCTGTGTTCTGAGACAGGGTAATGGAGGAATGATAGTTCCAGTTGCTCAACAGTGGTGTGTTCTTTAGTTTCAAAAAATGTCTATAACATCCACTGATAGCTCTTCTTGTAGACATCTAACTTGGACTATAATAAGAAAAGTGGGAGATGCATAACATGTCTTCAAAGGGAAGCGGAGTTGCCTGTCATCAGAAAATACTGAAGATGTCAGTAACATTGCTGTATTGCAAGCTGTCTGGAAATTTAGAACAGGAGTAGGTGTTGTATTTTTTTTTCTCCAAGAATGGAAACCCAAGAATTCACGCAGCATCTTGGAACATGCAGAAGTTTATCGACGTAGTCCAGTTTTTAAGGTGATCACAAGATTTCTGAAAGGTTAAGATTTTCTTTAATACCCTGAAAAAAGATTAAATATAAATTATGCTTTCCCTTATCTTTCCAAATAAAGCAAATGCTTCTAAGGTCTAGATAGCTACTTTTCCCAATTCATCAGATAGTAAAACTAAAGCTATATTACCTTTATATCTTAAAAATCAGTCGTTTTACTAAATGAAAAATACAGAGAATCATTTCAGGCTTGCCAAACTGAAAAGAAAGCATAAAACGTTTTAAATGTTTTAGCTTTTGAGCCCAAAACCTTCAGAGGAGGACTTGCATACCAAAAGTTATTTTTTTCCAATTGTACCAGTTCCACTAAAAAGGTTGCAGAAGACCAGCAGCACTGCCCCCCAGTACAAGCCCTGCCTCTGCTCATCCTTTGTGTTATCTCTGTCCTTAGCTGATAACTACTACTTTGTATAGCTTTAAAACGTTGGTATTTTAGTGCACGTACACCTCAGTGTTAACAGTCGTCCGTTTGCTTAATGCCATTTTTGTCTTACAGGTGTATTACCCAAACTTGGGATGGATGTGTGTTGATGCGACTGATCCAAAGAAAGGGAACTGGCTACGGTATATAAACTGGGCACGTTCAGGAAAGGAGCAAAATCTGTTTCCTCTGGAGATCAACAGGACCATATACTACAAAAGTTTAAAGGTATCAGTGTCTGAAGAATCAGTTACTTCTCTGTTACCTTTTATTATTAATACTTTTTATTCCCCTTTATTCAAAGCCTTATTTTTTACTATTTGTATTAAACAGATTTTGAAACATTTTATTAAATACAATTAAAATATTGCAAATACTACATTTCATTGGTCTAAGTTCTTCTATGCCAGTACAGTTGACTTCACTTTTAAAATATAGGCTATGTATGAACACTGTGTCTATCATGTTGGTTAATGGTTTGCTGTAGCACTAAATTTGATACACACTAGAATGAAAACCTATAGTAGATTACGTAAAATAAATGTTTTTCTGTGTCTGTAGATAGTGAGACATTCTCTCTGAGGATTTTTTGCAGAAATCAGTTATTTTTATGGTCTTTGCATCATATAACAAAGATTGTTTGTCAAAACGTTTTTATAGGTAGCTTCATGAAAGGAATTTTCCTGGCTTTATACCCTTTCAGTTTTATGCAGGGAGTGGGGTGCAGGGAAAAGGGTGTAATTTCTGGGCATTGCATCTCCCAAACCAAGAAAAAAAAATGCTTTAACTGTAAGTAATGGTAGAGTATGCTAGTGTTAGAATATTGAGACTATGAAGTATTATTTGAATCTCTGATCAAGAATCTGCTAGCAGTGAGTATATATAGCTCGACTTTGTTTTTATTTAAAATACTTTTGTGGGTTTTGGGTACGTGCAGCCTTGCTGTTACACTGTTCTTCTTTTTTACGTTTCCTTGTAAGGCTGAGATCATTTATAAGTAACTGATCTTCAAGAAAGCGTGAGTTGATAAAATGTGCTTTTTAAGTTTATAGGGCAGTATAGCAATATGTAAAACTGTTACATTTTAGGTCACTCAAACTAGATTGAAATAAAAAACAACCAAACAAAACCTTCTAAACATTTTCTGAGCTTTCTAATAGCTTTGAGATAGCATTCAAGTAGAGGTTCACTATTGCCAGCCAGACTATTGACTTCTCTTCAGAGTTTATTCACTGAGGGCAGGCTCCCAATGTGAATCTGTAGCCAGTTTAGTTTTCTCTAGATGCTTTATTTTGGGTTGCCTCTGCCTTTGCCCACAGTCGCACTAGTTCATAAACCTAAGTGTGCTTTTGGAGTGAACTCTGACATTTTAAATTTCTCTCTCATTGAATCTTTTCTGCAGAGGTTTTAGTCCTGATAAAGACAGGCATTCACATGTTTCAAATTTGTTTTCTGATGGATAATATTGCACTTTGGAAAATAATTGCACTTCTAAAAGAGGCTGAGCGCTGCTGACAGAATAACAAATACCTTGCCCCAGCATCTGGAATACCTTTTGTTCCTTTGCCTGTCTTCTCTTGCGACCTGATGAATTTTATCCTAGCAGGTCTTGCCAACAAGATCACGGTGCCAAGCAGCTCTTTGTGAAGATTGTTACAGAAGCCTATAAGGATTGGTTTTATGGGTTTCAAAACCTGTCTGGAATTTGTTGCAGTGTGGGATTTTGAGTTTGGGATGCAGGGTTCTTCAAAGAGGCATCTTCAGCAGGGTTTATTTGCCCCTGCAGCAACCGCTTAGAGATGTGAGAGCTGTGGGATTGTTTATTAGCTTCAGTTCAGTGTTAGCAGCACCAGTTCCAGGCAAGCTGCTGGAAATTCATGTTGGTGTCTGCACTGTGTCCTAGTTGGAGGCAGTGTTACATCAGAAAAGGCATTACCTCCGGGCTGCCTCTGCACAAGGCTTGCTGCTGTACCCCTTACAGGCCAGTTTAGAAGCAGCAGTAGTTTTGGGCTTGTGTGTCACACAAAGCAGAGCACCAGGACCTGAGCTGGTGTAGAACCACTGAGTTGTTTCTGCCCTGTAGAATTAGTTCCAGGAACGCAGTGCAGACATGCTCCAACTAGTTCTGCATGAGCCTGGCTGGGATGTTCTTGTATTAGTAATCCCAGCTTCATGCTGCTCAGAAGTAATGACGCTGTTGCCAGGGCCAAGTCAGCCCAAGAAGCATTGCAACCATGGCTCAGTGGTGTGCTCCTGCTCTTCCTTGGTTGTCACTACAGCTGTGACACAGGTAACTTGGCAGGTAATTTAAGAGGTGGCTGTAGAAATGTGTGAGAGTTGCTTCACTATGCAAAACTAGGTTATAATGTAAAGTTTAACTTTGCTCCATATTGGGGGGAAAAAGCTCACAAATTTGTAATAATGAACGTTTGTTGAAAGTGCATAGTGATATTCCAATTATTTTTTGAACCGTCTACTTAAATATATTGTATTCTCTTCTCCCATGTTTTAGAGAAGCGACATGTAAGGAGAATTCTGATTTTGCTAATCTGCGATGATTTTTGAAGTGAAAGCTTGACATGGAGTTGGACAGTTTTCCCTACTGTTAAATATTCAGCATTTAGTCAGCATACCGATAAATCAGGTCAAGATTTAGAAAGTTACATTGTGTGTTTTTTAATTGCACAAGTGGGCTGTTCTTGTAGTTTAATAGGAATGTTGTAAATCCGATATTCTGTTTAATTTCTTGTCCATTCCAAGAACATGAAAACCAAAGGAAGGCATTAAGAAAGCTTGTTTTGTCTAGCATTTTGTAAACTTATTTTTTGTAGAAAAATAGTAACCAAGCTTTTTAGGTAAAGCTAGTGTGAAGAAACTGGAAGTTAAACTGCAGGTGACTGACAGAGTGGGTAGGAGAAGTATAACGTAGAGGAGATTCGAATGTGTGGTCTAAAGGGCAAGTTACTGCATTAAAGCGTTTAAATATTGTCTTGTACTAGTTTTTACTATTATATACCTTAGAAACTGCAGGGAATAATTCACAGCTTGGAAAAAAGTTGTGTTGTTTTCTGCTTTCTTTACAAAATAACGTTGCTTATATGTCTGCTTTTTATTTAAAGGTTTGATTTTTGTCTCACCTTCTGTATCAGAGATGATTTCTTACAGGGTCCCTGTCAGTCTCAGATTCACGTCACACTTTACTGACAACTGAGACAGAGCGTGTAATAAATAACATCTGAAATGCCCTTCTCTTTCTGCATGTAATAATGTGTTATGGTGTGTACACTGCCATTGCAAAACTGTTTTAAATTTGCTAGCCCAGGTATGTACACATGATTCCTTCCTGGTCTTTATCATAATTCATAAATTTAGGGGAATTCTATTTGGTGATAAAACCCACAGTTTTTATTTACCCCCAAGAGAGAATTAGAGTGGCTTGTATGTCACTTTGTTGTGCTTTTCCTCGAAGCATTTAAAATGTTGTCATAGCTATTTATGTTTTTCCCAAGGTTTTCTTCAGCTTTTTGTGGGTTTCTAATTTGTAGGTTAAACAGGCTGATTTCCAAGCTTCATTGCTAAGATAAGCAAAGTCCAAATTTGCTTGGTGTAAAAGAACCTCAAAACTGCATAGAACTTTAACTTCCCTGTTCTCTGCTGTAAATGAATAGTAATAGGATAGAACTTTTAATTGAGCACAAGCAAATACTTTTCCATCTTCTCTTCATCTTTACTGAAGGACAGAGCATATTTGTAGACTGCTTTGCATCTGTTTTCCCCAGGATGCATATATGAGAGTTGTGATATTTTGATGAAACAGCTTAAACTCATTGTGGGGTTTCAGAAGCTCTTCCTGCCTCTCCTAATGAATTGAGCTACCTGAATAGTGTTGTTCTGCACCTAGTACAGGACTTTGTAATTCTTGAAGAAGTAAAATTGTGGTAAAAAATCAGTTTCAAAAAGTCTGCTAAATAAGCTTGGCTCTGAAATTGGTTTTGATTAAGGTGAAATTAATTTGTTTATGGAGGAATGTTTTGTCAAACAGGTTTATAATAACTCGAGAAACCTCCCTGTTACATAGGAATGCAATGAGGTATAGGGTTATACAGTGTGAAAAATGCCCACAATTACTGATGCCACAAACTGTCCACTGTGGTTACATTTGGGGAGATAAGGCCCCATCCAGGTGCAAAAGCACAGTATCACAGTAAAGTGCAGTGTGTGTGGTGAAAAATAACGTACTCTGAGAAGGTCGGACAGGCAAACGCCTACCTCAGTCTGTACAAGACACATTACAGAGCTTATACGTGTACAGTGGATTGAATTTTAGACGATGTGTGCTAGAACATCTTAGGATATAACTTGTTAGGATATTCCTCTTGAAAATAACAGATTCTAAAATTACTTTAAACCTTTTGAACAGAAAACACTCAGATTAAGGATTGCTAAATGTTGCAGTTGAAACCTAAAGCACCAAAAAGCATATGGGAGTTGTTAACAAAATGAGCCTTTCCAAAATTCACACCTTTTTGGAGCAAGCTATCCCAACCTGACAATACTGCACAAACCATCTGTAGGTTACGGTTTGGAGCAGGCTGGTTTTTAGAGTTGTTATCAGAGGTTGTCATCAGTAAGAGATGGCTGCGTGTTGTGTAGGGTCAGAGTAGCGGTAGGAGTGGTGCTTGGTCAGTGTAGTAGTTTTATCACTAGTGAGGGAGCCCTTTTAATTGTCTGTTTTTTTCTGAAGCTGCTGCTCCATCTCCTTTTAGAAGTACAAGGTCAGAGGGCTTAATTTAGTTTCAAGAGTAGTTACACCAAAACTAAATTTGTCAAGCCAAATTTTAGTTCCAGCCATGCAGTTAACAAATTACATGATTACATGCTCGTTACCATCCTGTTTGCATTGCCTAAAATTTTTGCCAGCTCTTTTCTCTGACTTTGTGTATTGTTTAGATGGTAAGTTGTTTGCATCAGACAAGCCTTCTTCATTCCTTGCTCCTAAACAGCTGCAAAATGAGACAATGCAAATAGATTTACCACTATTTATCCTATCGGGCCCCCAGAACTGGTAAGGAAGCCAGACCGTAGGCTTTGCTTATATTATAACTTGAACACTTAACATAGTTGTTGGGATCTTGTTGTTCCAGTGTCTGGGGGTGTAAAGGTAACTAACTACCACCTTTATAAAGTGCTGTGAGACCCACTAAAAAAAAAGTGCTTTAGAAGAAACA